AAAAAAAAAATTGTACATTCAATCATAATTTCTTAATGTAGTGATTTAGGGTTAGTAAATTACACATCATCACTACCTTTTAAGGATTATATTAGGGATTATTCCCTAAAATAATGTTATAAAGCCATTTTATGAAATTAAATATCTCAAGCAGTAAACCTGCTTGAATCTTTGAATAATAAATCTATTATAGTAAAATTCCATAACAAGTAATGAAGATGAATATAAATATCGTTTAAATAATTTTCACTTTATCTGAGAAGTTAAAATGGGAAAAAAAATTCAAGTAGCTCTAATAATAGCTGTTAGCAAGAGCAATTTGAATGAGATATTGAGAAAAAACTAAAAGGCCATTAGCAATTAAATAATATTTTTGTAATAATAAATGTAGTTCAATCTTAAATCAGTTTTACAACCCTTGACTAAATGCATCAAAATCTTTGTAGAAGATAATGCAAAAAAATCAATAGACAAACAACCCCGATTAGAAAAATACCACAATACTAATAACACCTACAACTTTACAACCATCATTAATAGTTTCCAAAAGCTTAAAACATTTTTCCTTCCATATCAGCCTCTACTACCTCATTATAGTACTATTCACCTTCATACCAACTAACGAAAATAAAGAAATTAAAGGTCAATATAGACACTCAAACATATCTATTTTTTGGGGAAACCTTTTTGACAGCCAAGAGGTTGTAGTAAAAAGCTTCCTCAAACCTAGAGCAATAGGGCCCAGACACTTAAGATCTAACTCTTAAGATCACTATAACAGAGTAATATCTAACAAATCTAATAATGGCTCTCATTAATATAAGCCCACTATGGATCAACCCTTAAAGACTAATTGGCAATATTCTACTAATAATAACTCCCTTTTGTATGCTGTTCATTTCCATGTTTACAATAAGAATTTGCAAGGATCGGTGAATCAAAGTATACATTATCCTTTTTCTCTAAATCTGGACTCTTAAGTTCTAAGACTCAAATGGTCTAAACCTGACTGAGTATTATAAGAACTCCTAAAGCTAAGAAATTTCGTCCAAACAATAATTGAAAAATCCAACTCATTCATTTTTATACTCTATTCATCCACAATTTCCTTAATTAAGGTTACAAAATGACCTATAGCTCAAAAACAAAAATTCCAAAGTTAGTCTCTTTTCAACATTTTTAAGTTTCTTAATCTTATCCTAATATTAAGAGATCTTTATTAAGAGTTAGACCCTCCAGTTATCCCTGAAACAACTACATAAAATTCCTAATAGGTATCTATAAAGGGTTAATTAAATTTAGACATCAGAAGTATTGATTTTTAAATTCTAATTTTTGAAAATAATGTTTGCTTTGAAGAATACTTTCAGCTAGATCCCAAACAACCTTTATAGCTCAAAGACATTAGATGTTGCATAAATTCTTTACATTTATTATTGGAGATTAACAATAAATTATTAAAGATTTTATTAAAAAGTTCATTTAATAATTTAGATCTTCAAATCATTTCCAAATATTAATTATTGAGCAAATTATTCAATTTGTAAAATATTTTTTTTTCGACTTTGAAAATAAAATCATAATTTCAAAAAAATGGAAAGGCCCATTTGCCAGCATTAAAGTATTTCCAAGCAAAATAAATAATTTATATACATCAATTGTTCAACAAACTCTCTACTCAAGAGATTATATCGATGATTTATGCATACTATAGCCAATATTAAAATATGATTCCTTAATAGTTGAACAATAGTTTGAGTATTCTAAGATTAAGAAATCTTATTATAAGTATCTCTTGATTTGATATTTGAGATATGAACTGAGATATGAACACAAAATTTTATCAGAGAATCAAAACTTTTCTTAAAAAGCTGATCATAAAATCAAATCCTTAATACTAAGAAATTTAATTATCATTTTATCTGACACTAATAATTGTGATAAGCTTTCTGATCAAATAATTTAATTTATGCTATTTTCTATTATAGTTAATTAAAATTCTAAATTATTTTAAGGGTTGGTCAATCTCACATTACTATGTAAGTATCATATATATTCATTTATCATTTGCCAAATAAATAAATAAGATTTTATAATTATCTTCTTTTTTTCATTTATCAAAAAAGAATATTTTAATAAAACCTTAAACTAGTTTAAAAACATGCTATATCTGTTTTTTTTCTTGATACTTGTGATATTTTCCTCATCTTTATATTTTTGGTATATCTCTGTATTTCTGTTGATCATTAGTATTAATATTTGTAAGAGCAATTTTACTATAATGTTCAAGTTACTCCTTGCTTATTACATGTCAGAAATTTCTATCTTTAAACATGATAACTTAAAAAAATGTGTTTGTTGAGAAAATGGAAATGAAATAATTGCAAAAGGACAGCTTAGCCAAATTGAGTTAAGGCTAAACTTGCTTATTAACTATTTATTTCTTCATTTAAATATCTGGATTAAGAAGCTTCCATATGCACTCATCAAGCTAACTCAAGCATTGCCCCTATTATTTTAAGTAGTTTTCAACATGTATTCATTTTTCAACCTCAATAATTAGAATTTATCCTCTCCTTTACATCTTACATTGTCATTTCTGCTTCTCTTGATTATACTCTACCACTTTTTTATGAGCTTAGATATGATTTTCAATGACTTTAAATCATTTCAATTACTTCATCAATGCAAGTAGCTCAAATTGCTACCTAATTCTAATTTAAATATGATATATGTAAATTATTTCTGTTGTTGCAAAAAAAGCAATCATTTTAATTTTCTATGGTATATTTATATTATCTCAATCCATAAAAACAAACCCTATAAATTATGTTCTCATATTTTTAAGATATTCTATTATATTTATATAACGTGTTCAATTAAATATAAACCATTTATTAATTTTGAGGTATAAATTTCATTCTTGAATATTGAAAAATATATCTTACAATTAATTAATTATCCAAGTTTAAGTAAGTCTTCTAAGGTAAATAATTGATCTAATTCATTTGATTAATAATCTAGAAAGTGAACTGTGTAATGATAGAACCTTCTATATTGATTAAAAAATGATTGTGATTTGCATTATAAATTTATGATTTTTAAGTATAAAGATGATTAATTAATTATTATTATTCTTTTAATTTCTTAAGCTAAAAATGGAATTCTTTAGTGTAAATACTTAAATCATGAAAATGAAGAAATAATAGGATTTTGTTTGAATCAGAATTGTTAAAATGCAACATAGTATTGTTATGAATGTTTAACTACGACTCATTCAGAACATTTGAATGATTGTATTAGATTCTCTAAAATGAACTAATATCTTAATGAATTAATACAAGTTTAAAATCAATAAACTAAATAATACAAAGAAATATCGAAATATCTTTAGTATTATTTAGAATAGATTATTAAAATAATGGAACAAGATAGTACAATATTAGATAAGATGAAACAACAACTTTAAAACAAAGAGTATTTGACTTTTATGTCTTAAATCAACATAATCAAAAGGATTTAATCAAAGGAAAAACAAAAGTAAATATGTATACTATGAGTAATTATAATAGAAAAACAAATAATATAATTAAATAATATTCTTGATACAATTTAAAATATGGTAATAGAGTTAAGAAAAAATAGTGATTATAATATTTCTGCTGATTAAAATCAAATCAAAATTGAAGAAATTATTTAAGAGAGTGAAGATAAAAAATAATAGAATATCAAATAGTCTGAAAGATTATTAAATGAAGGTATGCCCAATTGAATTACTTTTTAGGATGGGCATTAAATAATTTGAATAAATATTAAGAAGCCATTGAATGTTATGACAAAGCAATTTCCATTAATCCTAAAAATGATCTTGCTTGGAGTAATAAGGGTAATTAATTGTTAAA